TAGACTGCGTGCGCATATGACAAGAAAAAAGGGCGCTGATATTTAAAAAAAAAAAAAAAAAAAAAAATTCCCTGTAAAAAATTACTTAATCATAATTTTTTTTTCTTTTTTAATCAATTACACAATTTATTTTTTCTTAAAAAATGAATGAGCGTTATGAGGCGTGCACTTTTGGATTTTCCAAACTTTAATGTAAATTATTTTTAAATTTTTTAGACAAAAACAAATTAGACTAAAGAAAATAATTTTACACATTGTAGAGTAATTTTATTTAAAAAAAAATAATAAAAAAAATTTTTTCTGAATTATTATTATTAATGAAAAAAACAATAGTGATAATAATAAATTTCCAAGACAAATTAATAATAATAATAATAATAATATATGAACAAATAGATATTTTCTAAGTCTTTTTTTCTACTGGGAAAAATTTTACTATTGTTACTTAATAAATTTATTAACAATAGCATCTATTAGTCATTCTTAATAATGCAATAACTAGCACATCACAAAGCATTAATATAAGCAAAAAAAAAAAATTTCTAAATGATCGCTCATGAAATTGTATTACTGAAAATTCTAATGATGGATGTTAAAAAGAAAAAAAGTCGAAAATATAATAAATAATTAAATGAATTAATGAGTGAATGAATGAATGAATGAATGATACATACATAGTTATTGTAGCTGCTTACCAGAGCAGACTGACTGACGCCCTGGTACGGTTGATATTTATGATGCTGAGTTGGACTTGGTTGTGGTTGTTGAGATTGTGATTGTTTACAATTTCTTGATTTCGGTGATGGTATTTGTGGTGCTAAATAAGATAATCATAAAAAAAAAAAATAATTAAATAATGCAAAAATAAATTAATTAATTGAGGAATGAAAATTTTGATCAATAAAACTAACTAGAATTAAAAACCGATGCCAAAACATCTTGTTGATTTCCCGACGGGCTTTTCAATTGTCTCGGTTGTTCTTGTTGTTGGTGTTTGCTAAGAAAAGTTGCCGCTGCATTTGCCGGACCTTGTAATCCACCAGTGGGATTACGATACTGTTGTGCAGCAGCAGCTGCGGCTATTTGCAGTCCCGAGCCAGAAAGAAATTGAGAGCTAAAACTCTGTAGATTTACGGGGGTTGCATTACCAGTTGCTAAACTCTGACTATGTTGACCAAACCCCTGAAGACCGTAGTGTGTTCCCGTTTGCTGTGTACCACCAGGTTGGTAAAATCCAGTTTGTGATCCCGGAAATACATCTGTAAATAAAATTATTTATTATTATAATCAAGCTCTAATTTATTTAAAAAATTTAATTAATTATATTTTTTAATTTACCAGCAGATGTTGCGCTATAGTAACTGTTAGCTGTCTGTTGAACATTAGGACCAGGTCTCTGAACTAATTGCGAATTTCCCATGTAATTCCCACTTACTCCTAGTACTTGATTTGGATCATACGGTATATACGCCAACTGAAATAAATTATAAATTATAAATGTGGTTAGAATGTTTGCCTTAATTTTTAAATAACAATTAATAATTAATGCTGTCAAATTTTTTTATATTAAAGCGAAAATATTAGTCGTATAAAAAAATCATAAGACATTTTTTGTTGTAGAAAATAAAACTTCCTACAACTTTTTTTTATAAGACCAATATTTTTGCTGTAATATCTATTACTTAAATCATTGATTTCAAATTTTGGCAAAAATTTTTATAAATAATTATAAATTAAGAGATATAAATTGATTAATAATTTTAAACCAGATAAAAATAATTACTTGATTGGGTTGAGCAGATTGTGCCTGGAAATGTGGTGCCTTGGTACCAATAGCACCAATAGACTGAGAAGAAGGCTTGACACTAGCCGACATCAGGGAGTTGGATGACGAACTTATCAAAACAGTGTTAGGATTATTGCTCAATTGTTGATTTTGTCCAAACGGCGGGGCCGCAGCTGCGGGAATTCGATATTGCGACAAATTATTTTGATACATATCAGGTGTAGCTGCGTTTGGAGCGTGAGGTGGAGGCGGCGGCTGTTGTAAGTACACATTCTGCTGATTGAACGAACTTTGCAGAGAGGGACCATAAGGTGGATACTGAGTGAATGGTGAACGACTCTGATCCAACTGGAATGCACCGTAGAGACCACCGGCTTGGGCTGGCAATTGACCAGAGCCAGTGTTAAATAGAACTGCTGGGGGCGATGGAATAGCAGACATGCTACCGTATTGCGCTGCCTGTGATCCTGGATACTGTGGGAATTCCTGTTGATTTAATTATTATTAATAAATTAGTCGATTAAAAACTAATAAATACTATGATACTAAAATTTCGAGACACCTTAAAATTTTTAAAAATTTTTTAATAAATAGATGATAGCAAAAAAAATTATGAATGCTTGATTCTAGATTTAATTTATTGTTTTTAAAAAATAAAAAATTTATCAAATGTCTGCAAATTTCAATATTATATAAATATTTTTTAGAGAATGATGATGATGATTTATTTTTACCTGATAATTGATATGAGAGGGTTGTCCAGTAGAATTGAATGGAGGAGGACTCAGAGGACCTTGAAGACTGGCTGGTGGATGCCCGATGGGACTCTGACCAGGGCCAATGGGACTGGGACCAGGTACAGTGGAGCCTGTTTGCGCGCCGCCACTCCCGGAGGATTGCTGCTGCGGCTTCACCTGCGGGGGAACCAGCTGCGCATCAGGCAAAGAGTCAGCATTTTCCCACAGGGGACAGGATATTTTATTTATGTTTATACATTCATTTACTTTTTACTTTTTTTATTAATTGCTCGTTACTTTGCCTATTTACATCACTGCTAATTACCTACTTAGTTATTATCAATTATAAAAATTAATTTAGTCGACATTTAAAAATTTTAAGAATTTTTTTTATTAAAAAAAATTTTTATTTTTAAAAAACTAAAAGTGCAATTTAAAAAAAAATATTTTTTAGTTTTAAGTTAATAAATTAAAAGCATCGGTTAACTTTGGTATTATATTCATCAATTTAATTAAACACCACATTTAATTAACTTTCTCATCAAAAAATGAAAATATAACATGACAAAACCGATCAATAATTAATTAATAATTATCTCTACTTTCAAGTAATTAAAAAAAAAAAAATAGGTTAATATCTAGTGATGCAAAATAGCCAGCAAATTAATGAAACAGGTGATAGTATGATAAATAACCAAATGTAAAAACAAATAAAACGCACCTTGCATACATTAGTAGAAGTCGTGATTTCATTTTTCATGTTGTTCTGGCTGTACTGAGGATGAGGATAGCTATCATCAACATCCGCGGTCTCGAAGCTCTGTGGAAAGCTGTTAGCCGTAGACACAACGTTTCCGTCTTCGTGTTCGACGACAGTTGGCATTGAAGCATTCTCCCAGACCTTTTTAACCGATGCGATTTTCAAATTAAGCTCAGCTGTAGAAGGAGAAATGGTGCTCTGAGCACCCGTCATGTGCATGGACCTCGGCATGCCCAGAGATTTGCTCTTCTCTTCGGTTAATTGGGACAAGTCAGCGTCAAAGGTAAAATCAAGCTTCATATCTGCGCTGTCTTCGCTCTTATTGAAGGACAGTGGGATCTGAATCGGGTCTTGGGCCTTGTCTTTAATCAATTCATTAGCCGGTTTGTTAGAGAACGCAACCGAGAGTGGTTGCTGTTGCTGCTGTTGCTGGAGATTAGGGTCCTCATCAATATCGCGTTTGTCAACGCGTTGCGGTGGCTTCATGTGATTTGAAAATTTAGATTTAATCGCCATTTCAGGACCAGTCTTAGTCGTCTTAGAATAATTAGTATTTTCAAATATCAAAGTCTGAACAGGCGGTGACGAAGCGTCTGAGACATTTTTGTCAACTGTAGACTCCTTGTTAGGTTTTATTATTTTTTCTCCACTGGGAGAGTTGCGCTGACTGCTACCTGCCGAGGCCGCCTGCTCGTTAGCTTCGTGCGAATGATCAGAGCCAGTTAACCCCGACATTAATTGAATATCAGCCGGGATGTTTGAGTTCGGGGAGTTTGATCTCAATTGACTCGTAAACGGTTTATCCCAGGCGTTTACGGATGGTGGTGGAGCTGGACCACTTCCTGTATTACCTCCGGCATTGCCTCCGTTCCCAGAAGAGTCTTTAATATAATTAGAATTAGCGTTAGCCTTATTCGAATCAGTACTGCCATCGGAATTCAAATGCTGCTGCTGTTGCTTGGCCAACTTCTGTTTCTGGAATCTGGGCGCAAGTTTATTGCGATTAGGATTCCTGTCAAAGGACTTGGGCATATTTGCCGGCTGAGGAATCGGTTGACCCAGCAGCGGTGGTATGTTTTGAATTTGCTGGGCCGTAGGGGGCTGAGGACCATTTGACTTGGATTTAGACCTATCGCGTTCGCGTTCCTTATCTTTTTCCCGACGAGGCGGCTTGGGCTCTTCCTTGAGCCTCGAGTCCTTGAGATTCTTTTTCGAGCGCACTTCTTGGAATCCATCAGCGTCGACCTTGTCTTCTGCACTGGTGCCATCGTCGCCGCCAGTTGAATAATTATTAGCCTCAATCTCAGAATCGACGGACTTTTTGTCCCGACTCTGTGCACTCTGTACACTCTGTGATTTTTTACTCATGTCCTTCATAACCTGGTCCACCAAATTGGGATCACTGAGCTTGATCTCATCGACGCGGTTGATGGTGGTCTCTTTATTCCCTTTCTCATTAATCGGTCCACTATTAGCAGAGCCCTGGCTTCTAGGACGCCCATTTTGTGTCTGCGTACCTCCACCTTGAGGCGGCAGCATACCGGAATGATTTCGCTGATTAAAAGGTAAATTCTGGCCATTGCGTTTTTCAGCACCAGGAGCCCTAGAATTGACATTTGACTTGGACTTTTGCTGATCACGATTGTTGCCTATTTGTTCATGCCTGCGATTATTCTGGACATTACTCCCAGCTTGATTTCCAGCTCCACGATGTTTATTATGAGCATTTCTAGAATCCTTGTGCTCATCAATGTGTTCCTCGCTATTCTCCGAGGTAGTTTCCCACTCCTCGTTTCCCACGTCAGCAGAATTCGACTTGAGTAGATTTCCCCGTCGCTCACGATTGTCACGGCCACGACGGCTGCCACTGCGAGGTCTCTTGGCTCTCGCGTCTTCCTTTTTCGGCTGGTTCTTCTGCAAGCCAGCAGGGTGACCCACATTTCCGTGAACCGGTTCATGCTTCTGTCCCTGATTCCCCGGAACATTAGGTGACTTGTTGCGCCTACCAGTAATTCCTGCAGTCAACGCTTGCTGCTTAGCGATCATCTTGTCATCGACAGACTGATCAACAGTTGATGGCTGATTGCCCTCAACTTCAATCGCCGGCGAGGGAGAACTCTGCAAGACATTTTTATCATCAACATTTACTCTTTCAGTAGAAAACGGACTTTTGCTGGGTGGTGGCCCGTAACCCTCCATCCTGCCTCCCGAAGTGGCCCCTCGGGATCGAAACCCACCGCGGCCACGTCTTGAGGGCTCACCCGAGGGCGCAAAACCTTCTCGACTCGGTCTACCGTCAAAACCTCCTCGCTTGTCACCGCGACTAGGTGGATATTCATTGCTCCGTTTCTCATCCCGTCTTGATACCTCCCGATTACGCTCATCCTTATCATTTTTCTGGGCAACAGGTTTAGGCGAAACAGCTGACCTTCGCTCGTCCTTGCCCGACTCAGTGGACCCAGAAATTTCATCCCCGCTTATTTCAGAGTCCGTGTGACCGTACGATCCACTTTTCGCAGAACCAGGACGGGCCATCGATCGAGAGCCACCTCCACGGCGACCACGTGTCTCTGATCCGCGCCATCCACGTGTATAAACATTGTAAGCACCGCCCCAAGTACGCCCACCGCGTGAAGAGGGTTCACGTCCTCGGAAGCTACCGCTGTTAGTACGATTTCTTACATTTTTGTCACGCTTCTCATCTTTAGAATCATCCTTAATTTCTTCACCGTGAGACTCTTCGCGTTTTTCAACGATCAACTTCTCCATGCTGGCTTTCAATTCACTTATGTCCTTTTCATCCTTAGCCGTTTGCTCCTGAGACGTTAATTTCTCTTCATTTTTCTCAAAAGTTGGGGACACGGCGTCAGCCCAAGCCTTGGAGGAATTATCAGTTCTATCAACGGCAGTAGAAGACTGCCGCGTTGACTCGGGAGTACGCTCTAATTTTCTATTCCAAACCTCTGGCTCTTTTTTCACGTCCGCTGTACTATCTTTATTACTGCTCTCCTTTTTTTCAGCATCAACCGCGACATTACCTCCGACATTGCCGGCATTGGAGCTTCCACCGCGCTTTAATTGTGTGAGATTTCGTTTTTCACTTTTCAACTCGTCAGCTTGAAGTTTTTCACGTGTAATAGGTCCAGGTGGCTGCCTTCTGTCTCGTTCACGCTCACGGTGGTGATCATCGCGGTAGAGCTCGCGCTTTTTGTCCTCGTAGTCGTTCAAATCGTGAACCCAAGAAGATGAGTCACGTGACTTGTGAAAATCATCTTCACGAAGAGAAGTTTTGGATTCACGTGAGGCACGTGAATCGCGAGAATCCGGGCGCTGAGGTCGTTCATTCCTGTCAATACGATCTTCACGGGAAATATTCAAAGGCTCGCGACGATTATCATCAGCAGAGAGGCCTCGCTCATCACGACGATTGTCTGCAGCCCAGTCACCGCTTTCGGAGCGCTCACGCTGCAACTCACGGTCATCCATAGCGTCTTGCTGACTCGACTGTTTAATGTAGCAATTAGAATCGTAATCCTTGTCTCTGCTTTCGCGACTATCTCTTGAAATTCGGGAGTCTCCATGACTGTCCCGAGGCTCCCGGTTGTCTCTGGTGTCTCTGTCGCGGAAGTCTCGAGTCTCTTTAAACTCTCTTGAGTCTCTGGAGCTGCGTGAGTGCGAATCTCGGTCCTTTTCGTCGTAAATACGGTCACGGTCTCTCTCCCAGGACTCGCGACCCAGGTGACGGTCATCGTGGTCTCGCGTATAGTCCTCCTTGTAGCCTCTGTTGTAGTCATCGTGGTAGCCAGACTTGCGGGAATCTCGGGAATCAAAAATATGGTGAATAACCGGTCGGAATCTGTCGTCCCTTGATCGGTTTCCATGATCGCGAGATGGCGGACGTGGATCATCATCAAGGGGATTGGTAATATCTGAATCAGTACGACGGCGCTGTGGCAGAGGCATCGAGTGGGACTGCTTAACGCTGGCGGAGCTCGAAGAGCTGTGAGAAGACCACCTCGCGGGGTCGTATTGCTGCGAAAAGGGAACATTCGGCTGAGAAGTTGTTCTTTCAGCGCTCGGTGACACGCGGTTGTATCCCCCGCCACTTCTCTCGGCTTGCTGCTTCTGGAAACGTGGCGGCAAATTGCTCTGAAACTGTCTTGAGAACGCTGGCTGGTCGCGGTCACGGTTTTCACGCTGGTCGCGATCGCGTTCTCTTTCAGCGCGTGTAAGATCTTGCTGTGGTCTCATAAAATTGGAACGGTTCGGCTGGAAATCACCAGCTGGCTCTCTGGAATCTCTACTGTCTCTTTCTCTGTTGTCACGTATCAAATCGCGGTCACGTGACTCTCGCGCCGGTTTAATATCATCCTTACCCTCGGAAGATGTGCGCGAACGTTCGCGGTCGCGACTTTCGCGCTCGCGGTTCTCGCGCTCGCGCTCGCGCTCCCACTCAGGCACTGGAATAGGCACTGGCGGAATATTAATCAATCCTTTAGTTTCGGGAATAGAAATGACATCGTCTTCTTTTTTCGCCATTTTTTTCTTCATTTTTTGTTCTAAATCCTGTAATTTTTTAGCTGCTGCTTGTTTTGACTCCTGAAAGCGTTTTTCTTCCTCTTCTTTGCGCTGACGAGCACGAACGACCGCCGAAGCGACTATTTCACCGTGCTCACGTCGACGCTGATTCCATATTTCTTCCTCCTCGACTCCGCGAAGCGCATGAGCGGGCCTCATTGGCGGTTGGGATGATTGGTTGTAGTTGTCTCTTATCGGGGGTCCATTGGTGGCACGATAATCGCGCTGAGGCCCCACAGAACCACCAGATCCACCTGAGCTGGGACCCATTCTGTCTTGGTACCACGGGCGATTGCCGTGCGCTGAAGACAAGTCACCACGAGTGTCTTTGGGGTCTCGAGGCGACTCATTGTCTCTAAGTCTTTCTTTATCATCGAGCGACGTGTCTGAGGACACTTTATCATCCTTGAGCGGTGGCTGTTCCACCTTCTCATCTTTCTTGACAACAGAATTAGCATTTGTGGTATTATAACTCGAAGTACCGTGTGAATTAGCATCAGGCTCGTTTTCGTCATCACTGAACGCCAGCTTCTGATTATAATCAATATCATCGTGCGCAGACCAGCCCGGGTCGTGTGAAATGTCATCCATACGAGTTAAATCTTCCTCCTTAATAATAGGACGTGTAATTACCTCCTCTTCGACCGGGGGACGCTCACGTTCCTGCGGGGCTCGTGATGAAGGAAAACGGTCATTTGGATTGAACCGTGGACGGGGGCCACCGCCTCCTCCGCCGCCGCCGCCACCGCTCATATTTGACGGTATTTGTGGAGGAAAACCACCACTGGCTGGAAAGTTTCCTCGATTGTACATAAATGGGGGAATAAGTCCACGATAGTGATGTATATTTGGGCCAGGAGCTGCTGCTGTTGGGTTTACACTCGAGGACACTGCGACGCCTTGATTCGGTTGGCCTGCCGGGACCGAACCCATGACAGGCGATTGTCCCAAGCTCGGACGTCCGCCACCTAATCCTTCTGAGTGTCCTGGCGTACCGGATAAGCCTACTGGGGGGCCCTGGCCCACCTGAGTACTCCCACCGCCTGTACCAACTCCTGCTCCTGGTGTGCGACTTCCACCTTGTATCCAACTCCCTTCTGCTGTAATTTTTTTATTTAAATAAATATTATTTAAATTTATGATGACCACAAATTAAAAAAAAAATGCTTTATTTTTTTATTGGTTAATTTTTAATATTTATAGGGAAAAATATGACATTAAAGTTAGTAGTAAAAAAGTCTTGACAATTTTTTAATTTTTTTTTTTACAAACAAATTTGTTTTCTAATTTTTCTTGGCAATAATTTATTTATTATAAACATTCTTAAAATAATTGAACATCTGCTAAATTAATTTTCATGTTAAAAATTTTTAATGTGGCAACTGTAAAATTAAAATTAAATTAATTATATTTACTTTGTGGTCGCAGGCTTGGTCCAGGTCCATACTGTGCATTCAGCTCCCGGTTTTGTTGTGACTGTTGCTGTCCTGGTGCACCTATTAAATAAAAATAACCCATTAATATATGAAATTTAAATTATAATTAAAAACAATTAGCATTCACATCAATTAAAAAAAAAAAAAAAATGTAATATTCATAAACAAATTAAATAATCAATGTGCAATATTTTTAGTTACAATTTAAAAATAAAATTATGAGTAATACTGGTAAAAAAAAATTAAAAATCAAAATTATTTCTTATCAACGACGTAGAGAACCCCGGACTGTTAGGAATAAATAATTGGATCAAGGTCAAAGCGTTAAAATAATTATTAACATATTTTTTATTTGTTTTCATCTATGTTTAATAAAATACAATCGTATCTACCAACTGAAACATCAAAGCGGATAAAAAATAAATATAACACAGGTGACTGAGGAACAAGGGATAAAAAATCTATTCGAAAATACGAGAATAAATAAATAAAGTTGAAATAAAAATAAAAAAATAGACTAGTGATACTGTAAAGGAGAATAATGGCAAACAAGTCAACTACATGGCTACCAGCATCCCACCTGAGTGGTTGTGGGGATACTGCTGTTGCGGTAGCAACGATTGATGCTGGGCATTGACCGAGATGACATTTGAAGCTGTCGAGGAGGACGACTGTTGAGTAGTAGTCTGTTGGTTGGTGTTGTTGGTCGGTACTGAGACGGAGGGCTGTCCGCTGAGACTGGGGAACTCGTGTTGGAACTGCGGGGACTGATGGGCGAGGAAACTCAGTCCTAGGGCACCTCTTCCCGGTCTCCCGCCCCCCACGAGTCCCGCGTAACCAACCGCAGCTGACACGGCGGGTGTACCTATCGATTAATATGCGGCATTCGATCGACAACGCCCGATTTATGATTTTATTTTATCTTATTTCTACTGTGGATTATTTTCAAAATTATTATCAAAATCCCCAGAGCCTTACAACACGTGCAAGTAAAATTTATCACAAGCGCTGATAAATATTTTGAATTATTAATAATAATAATAATATTATTATTATTAAATCAAGCTTCAATTCTATTACTTAATTAATTAATTATTTTCCGTGTAATTAAAATTAAAATTAGAGTAATGGATTGACTAAATTATAATTATAATTATCAGTATCGATAAATCGATATCAACTTACCGGCATCCCCGGGTCTGCTCATAATTGCACTCCATGATGATTTGTTGCCTGTTTGCTCGGAGGAATGTTGAGACTGGCCCTGGGTATTTTGTTGCTGCTGCTGCTGCTGCTGCTGTTGACTTGGCAGTGATTGCGGCTGCTGTTGCTGTGATGACGGTGGTGCTGCTGTTCCCACTGTTGGTGATTGGACTGAAGTTGTCGCAGGCGCACATTGTGACGATGAGTTAGTCTAAAAATTAAATATTATTATTAATTTTTTTATTTATTTAGTTTTATTTGTTTATTTATTTAAAAGCTGTTAGTAATTAAAGCAGTAATGAAGCGATTGGGTAATAAATTGGTGGTTAAAATTACGGTAGTGTCAGATAATGGAGCAGCTGTTGCGTTGGTAGTTGTAGTAGTATTAGTATTAGGTGATTGTTCCTTAGTAGTTGCCCAACCGCTTCCGCCACTAGGTACTAGACTTACAGCTGGATCACTGCTGCTGTATTCACTTTTTAAACTAGGCAAATTAGCCGGTGGACGCCGTGCCGAAGGCACCTTTCCCAAACTCTGCATTCCATGTTTGCGTGGTAATGTGCTTTTTTGTTGGTGTTGTTCCAATGATTCTCCCTAAATTCAAAAATTTTGTTATTAGTACTGTTGATTTTACGGAAAACATTTTTTAGAAATTACTCAGCTTTAACTTCAATGGAAAAACATTTTAATGCATAAAAAAAATTTTTTTTTAAATTGTTGGATAAAAATTATGAAAAACAATTAACAAGTTTCAAGTGATGAAATTTAAATTAAAATTATATGTTTAAATTTCAATAGTTTTAATTATTGTCTGTAAGTAATTAGTCACGGTATAAAAAATTCATTAACGAGAAAGAAATTGAAAGTTTTGTAAGTAATAGAAGAGTCATTAAAAAATTTTATTCAATTTATAAAAATTTTTTCTCTTAAATAATTTTACACCAATATCTTTAAAAAAAATTTTTTTTTATTTCAAATTGAATAATTTAAAAATTAAATTTAACGGCGAAAATATTGGTTCTATAAAAAAAATTTATAAGACAATTGTAGGAAATTTAATTTTCTAAAAAAAAAATATCATTTTTTTTTTACGACTAATATTTTAATTATAATTTCAAAATTAAAATTGATAATGAATAATCCAAATTTTTGCTAATTATAAAAATCTTTATTTTAAAATTACGGCTTTTTTATTGGTCTTAAAAAAAAATTACAATCCAAGAGGCACAAAAATTTTTTTGTTTTTAATTTAAGTTGACAATTATAAATTTCTTACTTCTTGTTAAATAAAATCGCCCAAAAAGTCAACATTTTATTCTGTGACGTTTGGGAAGAGCCATTTTTTTTTTTTTAAATTAAATTTTGAACTTTGATTTAAAAAATTTTTTATAAGACCAATATTTTCGCCTTAATATCAAAAATTTACCATGAATTATTAGTTATTATTTTCAAATTAATGCAAAAACGGCCAGAAATAATTAATTTTAATAACTCTTGTTTTGTTTTGAAGTTTTGGAGGTAATTTATAAAAAAAAAAAAAAAAAAAAAAAAAAAAAAAAAAAAAATAATTAATTAAAAATAATCATTAACATACTTACCCTGCTCACCCGGTATAAACTATTGATATCTAGTGATTGAAACTTTGATTTTCCTTTCTCCCCCTTCGACACGATCCCCGACAGAGTAGACATGCTGTCTGCAGGCAACCATTTAGTACCACTCAGACCCAACGAACGAACCCTTTGTCTAAAACATAATTAATTTTATAAATTATAAACATAAACACTAGTTAGTTATTTATCGATGAGTAATGAACAAAATATGTGATATCAATGAACTCATAAATACAAACACAAAAAAAAAATATTTACACTCGGCGTTAAATTCTTGGAGAACGGTAATGAAAAATTCCAAATTTCTCACAAATATGTGAATATATATGTATATTAAAGATAAATAAAAAAATAATTTAACACGCCGTGATTGCGCCAATGGAACGTAAAAGGCTGACAAGAGGCCGGAATTGGCTGTTCCGCAGTTTGCCAAGGAAAAGCTTTGTTACATTAGCCTCGCGTTTAGACAAGCGGGAGTCCAATAAGAGAGAAAGACAAAGACACCAATACGTAGTAGCTTAACGTCTTTTGACGTTATTGCGGCTTGCTTTTGAGTAAATACACCTCGATAAATAAATTTATTACTCTTATCATTATCACTGAATAACAATATTTAAAATAAAATAATTTATATTAATTAAATAAATAATTATTTATTTTTTTTTTTATTATTTAAGCACTAATATTATTGCCAGAATAAATTTTAATAATTAATTTGACAATAATAAAACTAATAGTTGTAATGATGATAATAATAATAATGATGATGATGATGATGATGAATGAATGGGGATGAATTGACGCCGTTGAATGACCCAACCCTGTCCGCAAAAGTCGCCGATGTCAAATGGCCCGTGTAGTTTTGTCGTCAAAACAAATCGACTAAATCCACGCACTAGATTTGATAAGTATATTAAAATTAAATTAAAATAATTAAAAATAACGGTAAGTAGACAGTAAAAGCCGTCGACTTAAATAATAATCACTAAATAAAATAAATTTTTACACTGGAGACTAGAAAGAGATTATTCTCTTTTCTCTTATCGGATATTTTTTGACTTTCTCGAGTCTAGAGTCCCTTGGATTTGCGAAAATCGTTGATGAGACGGAATAAAAATAAAATGAAACAAAAGGATGCGTAGTATGATTAAAATAATTAAGTTGAAATAACAATTACCTTGGTCCGTCCAAATGGGTATCAGTTCACAAACGGATTTAAATCCCAATAATAATAAATTTAACAACCGATCGCCACGGATTAAAGTTTTGATAATTGTTTAAAAAGCGTTTTGTGGGCGACTAACACACAAACTCTTTCCTCTTGGGGGATATATGATTATTATAATAGATTTCTACACGGTGTTAGTTGGGTACTTGTTCTTCTTCTCTACTCACAATTCGTCCAAGATGGCGAATGCGCAACTCGGACACGGACTCCACCAGCAAACTTTACGACTTTCGGCTGTGGCTGGTGTGGCTGGCTCTCTTCTCTCTTCTCTTGCGATCAATACAATTACGTCATGCGTTTTAAATTATTAACTTTGTCGTGAGATGTCACTTTTATCGGTACTCCAAGACTCCGCTCACTGACTCTTGTCACTAACCACACCGATTATTTTATTTTATTTGTTATTTAGATTTTTACAATACCTATTATTTTACAATTATTTATTTCTTCACTTCTACACTCCCTGATTTAGATTATTTATTTTTTTTAATTATAAATTATATATTATTTAAAGATACTGGAATTTTAAAAATACTATTGGTGGTCAAAAAAAAATTTTCAGTCTATACGAAATAATTGAGGTTTTTTTTCTTTGCTTTCCGGTACGCCTGCAAGGTGACTCACAGCGCCACCGTCGCGTTCTTGAATTATATTTTATTACCAAATTACTTATTGTGGTTCATTTGTAATTAATTTGTCATTTATGTCAGGTGTAGCTCAAGAAGAAAAATTGGAATTTATTTATTTCTTCTCAAGCCAAAGAAGAAATTTTTTTGACAGTTAAAAAAAAAGGAAAATTAAAATATATATTTTTTTTTGACTTTGCAGTTCCGCTGTTCATCACTTCCGGTGCGAAATATATATTTACGGATTAGAGTATACCTGTCAGAAATTATTTTTAAAATGCATTTGTGTAAATGTAAGTATAAACCATTTTAAATGACAGGTAAATAATAATCAGCTGATTGTAAAATAATAATTATTTTTTTGATCAGCTGTGATTAATTTTTTTTTTTTTTATTTTGCGACAAGATAATTTTCAAAATTGATTGCAAGCAAAGTTAGAAGAAAAATAATCCACCAGACGTCATGACAGTCTCTTTTTGCACTATACATATGTGTAAGTATCACATTCACACATCCCAGCAATTATTCTGATAGTTTCGTCAGACTGAGATAATTCGAATACCATGCTGTTTGTGTACATACTTTATCTCGTGAGTTTTAATAAATAATTTATTATTTTGTTAAATATTTAAATTTATTTTATTTTTTTAGGTGTCAAAAGATATTAAAATGTCTCTGAATGTTGTTTCTTGCAGATGATTTTGGTAATTGTTTTTATTTACTCATTATATATTATTTTACTAAGTGTCATTTACAATGATCATTTTATTTTTTTTTTTTTTTTTTAGGATTTAGTGTTTATTAAAATAACAAGATTGGTTTTTAAAATGAAGAAAAGATTAGTTAACAAAATGTCAAAATTGTCGCGTTATTCAGTAAGGATACTATTTAATTATTTAATTTGAAGATTTACATTTTAGTTAATTTAATTTAATTTTTTATCCAGATTTTTTTCTCATGCGCGTTAGCATTTTTTCCTGTGATTAAAATGACACATATAAAAGATTTTTACGATGAAATGATGTACAAGTACTCTCGTAAAAACAATGATGGTTACAAATGCGGAGCGCATTTATATTCAGATCATTACAAACTTTACAAAAGTGTTTATTTTGAAATGAAGAATAAAAAACAAGACTGAAATATAAACTTCAATAAAGAAGTACGTAAATTTGTAAAAACTTCATTAAGCAGATTAATATATAATTAACTTATTAATAAAGTTTAATAATTAAAATAAAATCTGTAAATATGTTCTAATCCTTAGAGTTAAGTTATCACAATTAATAAGTAAAATAAAATAGAGTAAAGTTTAAAAATACTTTATTAGAAAATAGTCTAGTAAATGCTTGTCTTTCTTATATAATGTAAACTTTTTTTTACTTTAAAGAGAAAAGCTTAAGAATTACAAATTGAGAGATAAATTGGCCTTACACCTAAATATAAATTTGTAAATAGTTTGGGATTGAAAATAAACATAGAAAAATCTAATCCCAAAGCCTGTTTGACGATTAGATATTAAATGTAAAGAATTACATAATAGTTATGTACAGTAATCATCAGAGATGGCTAAAGATTCAATACAAAATTATTCCTGAGCTTCTTCTTTGCTCTTCTTCTTTTTCTTTTTCTTCTCCTTCTTGGGTGTTTCCTGAAACCAATCAAATTAAGTCATTAGTAAACTAATCTAATTAAAAATATATTACAAGATAAAAGCAAAAAAAAAAAACTTACCCCTGTTTCCCCTTCAGTTTCCATAGTCTCATTCATAGAAACTTCAGCATCTTTTTCTTTCTTTTCCTTCTTCTTCTTTTTATCTTTCTTCTTCTTTTCTTTGGGCGTTTGATCAACATCCATTTCTTGAGGCTCTGCCTTTACTTTTGCTTCAGCTTCAGGTTCAGCCGATTCTGATTCTTCTCGTTTACGTTTTTGTCCAGTTTCTTTGACTCCATTTTCTTCCGTCTAAAATTTTTAAATTACAATTAATTAAATAAATTTATAAAAATCAACTAAAATCCTTGAAAAAAAAAAATACCTTAGGTAAAATCTGTTGTGGTGTTTGAGAATAATCAGCATAACCCGACAACCAATCAGCAGGTGTGTTTTCATTAGGTTTACCATGCTTGTCTAATTTTCCCTCAACAATCATACGTTTCTTCATTGAAGCCTTGGGGCCCAAACCCCATTTTCTGGGGTAAGCATCTCTTTCCATAATCACACGTTTTATTTTAGCAACGACTCCGTGATCACATGCACTCATTGTGGGCGAAGTCATTAGAGCTATTGCCAGAGCTACTGCTTCTCCCTTTGTAGTTACAATTACGATTTCTTGGTTCAATTCAATACCGTCGTCGTACATTAAGACACCAGGTAACATAATTTTAGCTCCATAGCAAATAGCGTTTACCTTAAAAAAAAAATTAATTTTAATAATAAATTAAAGAGTTCATCAATCAAACAGTTTAATAATAACAATAATAATAACTAGCAACCTTGCAGTCACTATGTGACTGCCGTGACTTTTGAACTATAAATAAATAAAATTTCGCTTTATTAAATGACTTTTGTTAAATTGCCATGTACTTTGTTAAATATTGACGTTTTTAAAGATATAAGCTCATCTCGATGTTACACTCATCAAGAGATTTCATTTGAGTACCCACATGAATTTTGATATATTTTTCAGATATACATATACATATTATATATATAAATCTATGAAAAATTGATGTGGGTACTCAAATGAAAGGTCTCAATGAGTGTAATGTTGGGGTGAACTTATATATTTAAAAATGTCAATAGTTCACAAGATACAAGGTCATTTTATAATTATATATCTAGAGACAGGCATTTTCGAATGAAACCTAAATACTTATCATAATAAATGGACTATCGGTGAGAATAATATGAAACCTTGAAAAGGCACAAATTCAAATCAAGACCTTGCAATGACATTTAATTTCACTAAAACAACCGATTTTACTATATGACTATCCTGGACACAAAATTTTTCTTATTCTCTTAATAATATAGATAATAATCACAATTTCAAAATCTATTAATTAAAGAGCTACTCAATAAGACAACTTAATGATAATAATAAATACTTACAGCACTGTCTTTCATAATAATTCTTTTGTGATTAACCAAAAGAGCTTCCAATGGCTTGATAACTCTTCTTAAATAAGATTCATCACCATGGTTCTCGTATAGCCACTGAGCATCTAGAATATCATGCATCGTCACCATATTATCCTCCTCACTTTGAACTCCAGAACGATTTCTCCTGAGCTCCTGCATTTGCGCTCCAGTACCCAAGAAGAGACCTAAATGAACGCAAATAGTTCTTACATAGGAACCAGCTTCGCATTTAACTTTGAAAATTCCTATATTGCGCTCTTTGTCGTAGTCGAGGAACCAGCTGTCATAGACGGTCCTCACACGTAGTTGTCGTTTAACTGCGGAAATCAGCGGAGGCCTTTGAAACAGCGCACCGCGTAATCGTTCCAGCGCTTGGCTTATCTGAAGATATACATTTTTATTAATTACAAGACAATGATAGTCAGACACAATTATGAATTTAGACAAATATTTATTTTACCTTCTGAGTGTCTTCTACAGCAGAGTGGAGCTTGAATACCGCGATATACTCTTTTCCCGCAGACTGCTGGGACTTGGCGAGACGCGTAGCTCTGTCAATACAGACTATCAAACATCCTGATACCTTGGGATCGAGAGTACCAGAGTGGCCAGTCTTCTCGACCTTCAGGATTCGCTTGATCCAAGCGACTACTTCGTGGGAAGACGGGTTTGATGGTTTGTCCAGATTTATGCATCCTGATTTAACGTACTCTGATAGAGTTCTGTGCAGAGGGGTTGATCCGCTTGTCAACGGAGTAAAATGTTTTGTCCTTGTTAACATTTTATCAAAATTCTGTTCAATAAAAAAATAATTATTAATATTTATTTTTGTTTTAATGAAAAAAAAAAAAAAATTGATATTGAAATTGAGAAATGTTCAATAATTTTTTTAACAAATAAATTATAGCAAAAAAAAATTTAATTAAAAAAATTTCATTTTTAGAAGCTCTAAAAAATTATCAATGCAAGTTTTTTAAAATAATTTAATTATGTCTAGCTTATTTTTTAAGAAAAATAAAAAAATTATCAAGTGTCTGCTAATTTAAGAATTATAACAAATTAAGTATTTATAAATTTATATTGTCATTTTTTTAATACATACTTTAAATAATAAAGGCCAATCTTTACAATCCAGCTTCTCTGGAATGTCAGAAGGCTCCATTTTACAATCCATAGCCACCTGGAGCTCTCCCAGGGACTTCTTCTTGCTCTTCTTCTTTGCTTTCTCTGAAAATTAAATAAATTAGTCTCTTTGTCGGCTCATTAACCTCAACCACACTCTTGATTTATAACCTTTAGATTTACAATAATAAAAATCAAAGTAAAAAATATTTTATGTAAAAACTAAAAGAAGAAAAACTATAATTAATGTTTTATTGATAATTACTCATAAATTTTGTGTAAATAAATTTATTTAAACAACCGGAGTAACAAACGACACGTGTTTACACCAACAATGCAACGCGGGAACCCATTGTTAAAACAAAGTAAATAATAATCATGAAAGTTAATCAGAAGTTTAGGATTTATTTTTTATCGATTGTTTGACAGTAATTACAATATTTTTTTATAATAATTACCTATTTCAGCCATGATTACAATTGTTAACAAACACGTGGGACTATGGCGCTCAGTTTTCAATAAAAAAACTAAAACTACACTACCGGCATTTTATAAAATTAAGAAAGCCAATGGGCTGTGAATAAGTTTGACTAGAACTGCCACGGGTTCTTGACGTAGTTCAAATTCTTGCCACGGGGCAGCACCTGACAATTCTATTTTTTTTTATACAATAACAATAGTAATGATTTATAAGAACGTTTATAATTTTGTAGTTTTCAAATCTGCGATAGAAAAGTCATAGGGGAAAGATACTTATATTTGTGGAGTTGCCAGATGAAAAAATTATAAATAATACGTATTTATTTATATGTTTATTTTTCTTTATAAACATAACAGGTAATGAGTGTTTTGTTGTTAAAATTTAAAAAAAATTTTTTAATCCAATAAATTAATTAAAATAATTATAATTTTTCTAAAAATTATTAAAAAATTTTGATTCACTTGTTGAATCTTAGATAAATAATTTTAAATAAAAGTTTTCTTAATATAAAAAGTGTTTTGTAAAATATTGTTGAATTATTTTTCTTTTGTTTCAGTGATGGTCAAATAACTGAGGTTATTTATTAGTTTGAATATTTTTTTTGTGTTAAAAAAATTGACTTGTCAAATAAATGAATAAAATGCCTGGAGAGGAAATTATTTGTTTATCTTCAGACGAAGAAGAATCTTCAGAAGATTTACCAATGGTATGTATTATTAAATTATTTAAAAATAATTAATTCATTTGTTTTTATGGTAACTTGATTGTTTTAGAAAAATTTAGTAGACTGTGACTCATCGCCGTCAAAGACAAAAATGTCACCGACGGTGCATTCAATAAAACGGGAAAATTTGAGAGGTAAAAGGAAAGTAACAGTCGATGAAGAGATACCGTTGAAGAAAGTTAAGGTCGACTTGTCGAAAGATAAGATCGAGTCGAAAAAAAAATCAAAAGATAAATTAATTGATGAAACTTGTGTTGCATCAACTTCGACTGGCTCGAAGAGTAAAAGGTTAAGTACAGATTCATCAGTTTCTGCGACTAGCGAGAACAATCACCGTAGAATAAAACCTTCACTAGTTGTAAAAACAAAAGAACCAGTAAACGTTGAAAACAAGCATGAAAATGTATTCGCAATGTTCATTAGTCAGTGTCTGAGTCATGAACGTACCCCGGATATGCACAAAATTGTAGAGAAGCTCAAGCGCAAGTACGAGCAGCTGGATCCTGATTACGCTGCCTCTGAGGCGTTTGCTGATTTGCTGAATGATAAGCGGAATATTTTGATGCTTCAAGAAGACTCTTTTTACATACATATTAAAGAGGTCTTGGATGTGATGAAGGTCAGGAAGGCTAACTCAAAAAATAGCAAGCCAGAGCCTGAAGCTGCTGATGATGACTTGGAGGCTGAGCGAGAAATATGCTTTAGGCAGGAAAGGCAGATCAAAAAAATAGAGAGAGCGATGGAGTTGGTGCAGAAGAGGATAAAGAAACTCGAAGAAGCAGAGGTTGACTGGGACGACGAAGACAATTCGACCTACTTGATTTTGGAGAGATACAGGAAGCGCATGGTTGAATTGTACAATGCATGGTGTAAGTTTACTGATAACCATGAGGACGCGGGGAGATCTTACCTTCGTCCTAAACACATTAAACTTACTGAGATTTCAAATATTGATAAAGCTATTAATAGTTTTGTTAATTCGAGACTGAAGAAACAAAATTCTCTTTCTAATCAGATTGTTAAGCATGATTTCTTTCCTGATTATCATGATATTTTAAAGTTGATCCATACTTATAATGAAAAACATAATTTGGGTTTGACTAAACAAGCTGAACATGATAAAGGTAATTATTATTATTTTTTTTTTTTTTTTCATTGCAAAAATTAATAAATTTTTTTTATTAAAAAAATTAATAAATGTTATTTATTAAAAGTTTTTTATTAATAAATTTTTTTTTTTTGCAAAAATTAATGTTTTTTTTCACTACAAAAATTAATAATTTTTTTTTTTTAAATAATTTTCAGCTAAAAAAGCATTTGTAAAATTAGGTGAATACTTAAAAAAAGAACGTCAACAGGATTATTATGATACATTTTCAATGTGGTACGAAAATCATGAGGATCCAGCTCAAAATAATCCTGATTTGATGTCTAAATTGCAAGAGAATCGTGAGAAAGGTGATAAAAAATTAAACGAAGTCTTTGACGAATACACAAGAAAGCAGGAAGAACTTAATGCTAACGGTAAGCCGCCAGACTTAAATGAGACTGACGACGAGGAAAGTGACAATGATGATGATGATGATGATGATGATGATGATGATGATGATGAAGAAGAGGAGGATGAAGGAGATGATGAGAGACACGTTAGCGATGCTCCAGTTGTTGATATAAAATCTGACTCTGATGCAACCGACGACCCAGAGGCTGACATAGAAGAAAATGGTCTTCAGAGTAGCAAAATGGAAATTGAAGACAAAAAATTAGAGGAAGAAGAGTTGGAGATAATAGAAGCTGCGGGGACTTATGGGTTGACAAAGACTAACAGAAGTAAGGTAATTGAGGAAAATTTAGCGAGTACATCGAAGCAAGCATCTTCATCCATTTCTGATAATTTAAATGATAATTCAAAAGGTTGGTGATGTTGATAAAATTATTGATGATAAATTTTAATTAATATATGTTTAAATATTAATAAGATTAAAAACAACTGTTTTATTTAATGAGAAATTACTGTATGCAATGTACTAATTTTGTAGTGAGTAATACTGACGACAGCGACCACTGTGATGAAGCTGACGACAAGCCAGTGTTGAAGTTGAGGTCATTTGCTAAGCCTCCCTGCTTCTGGGCCAACTCTCAAGAAATTAAGGATTCTGATTCTGACAAGCCAACTGTAAAAAATAATAATGACCAAAACGATTCGTCTATTGAAATAATCGAGCTCGATTCAACAGAAGGAAACTCGCCGGTCTCAAAAAATGTTCAGCCTGTACTAAATTTACCCGGAGGAAAAGCTTTGAAAAGAATAGTGCCGGTTTCTGCTGCTAATTTACGTCGAATTAATACTGGTTCTATTATATCAACTCCGATCGCCACTTCTACGCCAAATCCAACTCGGGTTGCTAATCCAAGTCGGATTGTTAATCCGTTGGGCTGTTTGTAGCAATCCTCCTTCAGGACTTGCAAAAGGAACCTCAACGCAGGTTCATCAGACTCAATCTTTGAATACTGCCAGTGCTAGTGGTGGTCATCGCGTGGAGCCTAAACAGCCTGTTATCTATAGACACAATAATAATAATAATAACAATAATAATAATAATAATAATAATAATAATAATAATAATTTAGTAAGACGTCAAAATTGTGCCACAAGCGCTACAGTGTTAAATGGACGTCCTGTAGTTACCAACACTGAAACCGGCAAGAACTATATAAATGTTAACAATTTACGATTAGCTAATCCTAATTATAATTATAGTAATAATAATAGAAATAATAATAATAATAATAATAATAACAATAACAATGGCACTAGAAATAGACAGCCAAATTTACCGAATAATAATAACAATAATGGTAACATAAGACCAGGTCGAGTTATAAATCCAATGGCAGCACAAACAAATGCTCAGTGGCCAACTAAAAATTTTGATCATTCTAATAGACCACCACGATCAAATGGACACATGTCGTGATAAATAAGTGATAAATAATAAATTAAAATTATTTGTTTTGTCGTTTTTTCTCATCGAGAAATTGTATAGTATCAATTATTTTTTTTTATAATTTAATAAAAAAAAAAAATAAAAAATTGTCAATTCTAAAAATATAAAATATAGAGAATAATATATTTATATATTTGATACTATCTTACTGGTTATGAAATAATATTATTTATAATTATCTTCATTAATGAGTAATTGGGATCATGTAAATTTTCGACGATGTCAAAGTGATCGATCATATCTCTCAGTAGAACAAACTCAACTTGATCCACAAACTCAATAAGCCTCTGGAATAAAATGTTATCAATTATGACTTTCTTCCTTTGTTAATTTGAAGTATTTTAATAAATAATTATCTTTTATTACTTTTGAATAATTTTTTGATTCTTGAATAAACACCGGCGTGTCCTTTTCACCGACTGTTACAATAACTTTTATGTTGTTGATTGCTTCGGATTTACTCATGTCTAGTTCATTGAAGCTCAAATTTTTCACTTCATCACTGAAATTAATTTATTTTTAATTTTATTCTTTATTAATTACCATAATAATTACTTACTCAGTTAGTTTTAAAGCGTCATTGTAACTGGTGGTCAATAAAGGCTCAAGACTGTAAATACCGGCAATTAAAATAAGACCTTTTATTAAGTGTAATTGCTTGGACTGTTTTAGCATCGTCAACCACTCACGGTCGTATAATAGTGAAGCTGCTAAATGAGCTCCAGCGCTATGTCCAGCTATCCAAACGTCCTTACAACCCATTTTACGACACACTTTTAATATTTCTTCTATTCCGCTTCTTACTTCTGTTACTAAGTTGTTCAAAGTCACTGAAAAAATTACAATTTTTCAGATTTGACTCTATAATTTTAATTATGTAATTATATCAATTACCTTGCGGGCATAAATTGTATCCTAAGTTGAATACTTTTATTCCTTTGGATACTAATGGCTTAATATGAAACCCAGCAAGCTCTTTACTTGCTTCCTGCCAGTATCCACCATGAATAAAAATTAAAACTCGCGAATCTAAAAATAAAATACAGCACAAAAAATAATTAAAATTTTTTTAAAATTAATTTTATTAAAAAAAAAAATTTAATAATAAAGAAATACTGAAATCAGAAGACATCTGATAATTTTTAATTTTATTTAAAAAATAAATTGTTGCTGAAATAAATTTTTTTTTTTGAAAAAGTTGAGTTTTTTTTTTTTTTTTTTAATTATGTATTGAATAAAATTATAAAAAATGTCAGATTCTTACTAATTTTTCAGTATAAATAAATAATAAAAAAAAAAAAAATAAATAAAACCATTGGGTAAGTTGGTTCCATAGTAGTCATACTTCATACGCTCAGTAGGTCCATAAGATACGTCCAACTTGCAGGGTATAGAATTTCTAGCATCGATCGTCGCTGAAATAAGGTTTCATTAAAAAGCAACCTCAATAATTTAATCATTAATAAAATTTATTCCATGAAACAAAAATAAAAATTAATTTAGCAGAAATTGAGTATTTTTTTTAACAAATAAATTATGACAAAAAAATTGTTAGAATTTTTAAAAATTAAAAATGCAATAAAAAAATTTATGATTTAATTTTATTTTCCAAAAAATTATTTTTAAAAAATTGCATTTTTAATTTCTTTTAATTTTTACATGTCAATTTTTTTTTGAAGTAATTTATTTAAAAAAAAAATTTTTTTTAATTAGCAAACATCCGCTAAATTAATTTTCACAAAAATTTTACCTTGCGTAGAAATTTTCAAAAACTCCTCATACCCTTCAGTGTAATTTTTGCTCCACGCGCTCGGGTCGTATAATTTCTGATGCTAGACAATAAACATATTGGTTAGTAAATAATTGAAATTTTAATAATAATAATAATAATAATAATTAATCAGTAAAAATAGACAATGTAAGTTTAATCCAGTTTACTTACCAGATCAATAGACATAGTTGATCAATAATTATACTTTTAATATTTAAAATGTCAATATGTATTTGTGGTCTTGGAGAACTCAAGCCGGATACTGAGAAGTTATTTTTTATACGAGTTTAAGAATGTCGTAATGCAAGTACTGAAATTGTAGGAGGGCAAGTAATGGTTTATACTCTTGTGAGATAATTTTTTTTAAATTTTATATCGCGGCCTTTTTTTTTAGTTGTTTTACTTGAGGAAAAAGAAGAAAACTGTCTTACCAGCGGGATTAAATATATTTAATGTGTGTTTTTATTAGGTTGAGCGGGAAAGATGGCTGTCATGTATACATATATATATATATATATATATATTGTTTTATAACAAACACAAAAAATAAGTTGTTTATTTGGCAACGACACACCGAAAATATTTTGAGGTAATTTTTGGAGCATGACAATATATGCTTTAAATAAAATTAGAAGTGAGAAGAAATAAAGTGGCGACACTTGTTTATTTATTAATTATTTACAATTATTAAAACGTCTAGGTAAAAAATATATTTTTTTTATTTACCTACTTTTTGGTTATGACGACCTTGAAAGGTATTTTTCCAAACCCAAGTAAGTATTTGTTTATTTAATTAATATATTTAAATTAAAAGACATCTGTCAATTTTTTTAATTTTTATAAGAATTAAATTATTATAAAAAAAATTCATCTAAAAATTAAAAAAAACATTAAAAGTAAAATTTTTAATGACATTAAACTATGAAAATTAAATTAGCCGACATCTAAAAATTTTTTTATTAAAAAAAAATTAAAAGAAAAAATTTGACATTTAGAAAATTTAAAAAATTCCAAGTGGAATTTTTGAACAATATTTTTTTATTAATAATTTTTATTATTTAAGCATCATTAAAATTTTTTTTTAATTTCTAAATATCAATTTTTTTCTAAATTAATTTTTACAAATTTTTTTTAATAGATTCATTTGTAATAAAAACAGTTTTAAGATGTCAGCTGATTTCAGGATAATAATATCCACAATAATTTTATTAACTTGAAATTTTTGGTTGTAGAGCCGCCAAGAAAAAAAAATTTTCTATATGAAAATGTCAAAAGTTTGCGGCAAATGGAGAAATACATCACTAAGGAAGATAAAGTAGATAAACTGAGGCCTAAAACTGGCCCGAGGATGAGCAATAAGTACCAACATGTCGCACCGAGAGTCTACTCTAGTATCCGCGGCTCCAGCGCAGTGTCATCAAAGAGCGACAAGAGCAAAGTGAACAAGACTCTGAGTCGCAAGTTAAGCGCTCCAAGTCTCGTCAAGACTGGAGACAACAAATCATGTGATTCTCTAAATTCTAATCTGTGCAACAGTAATAATAAATTAAAATCCAGAGAGTACAAATCTCAATGTAATTTAAGTTCTAATTTGGTGAACGGAGTCAGTAATTTGGACATTAATCGGGAAATTGATAAAAAAGAGTCTCGTAGTCAGGGTATTCAGACATTAGATGCCAATGATTTAGACAGTTTGTACTCCGAAGGTATTATTAGGTCTGTAAATATTAATTTATTGATTTTTTTTTTGTTAAAAATCTGTTAAAAATTTTTATAACAATTAAATTATAATTTAAAAAATTTAACAAAAAAATTTTACATGAGAAATTTAAAAAAATTAAAAATGCGATTTTTTAAAATATATTTTTTATAAAAAGTTATTGATTGTAAAAATTTATTTTGATGGAATTTTTGCAGGTATCCGTCAAGTAGGAGCAGAGAAACTGAAGAAGATAAATCACTGTTTAAAGAAGATGTCAATCTGAATCTAGACTTGGGTAGAGATCCTTCACCTGCTAGATCCTTGAATAGCAAACAAATAAATTCAACTTCGCCTTCTCCCGGAAAAGATTTTGTTAAAATGAACAAAGAAAAAATAACTGTTGCTGCGAGATTGGCTGCTCAGTTGAATAATGGTATTGTACCGCCTAATTATCGCAAAGGAGTTGTTCCCAAGTAATTATTGTAGCAATTATAATAATAATGTTATTGAATATTATTGTTAAGTTTTTAATTGTTAAAAATATTTTTATTTAAGGTACATACTTGAAAGAAAAGAAGAGCAGCAATTAAAAATTGAGCAAGCTAAATTAGAAGCAACTAATTCTGATTGTCCAGCTGGTCATATTCCATTACCTGATAATGAACGTAAAGAAACTTTACGTTTATTAAAAAAAAGTATGAACATTTTTTTTTTTTAATAAAATTTTTTTTTTATTTTTATTAAATTAATTTTTTTTATAGATTATCAGGAATTTGTTAATGAATTAAACAAAATGCCAATACGGTCAGACACGCTGCGCTGCCAGAAGAAAAAAATGGAGATTGAAAAACAATTAAACAAATTAGAAGAAGGAATTAAAATATTCTCGCGTCCTAAAGTATTTGTTAAAACAGACGCTTAATTAAGACTTTAGATAATAATTTAAATAAAACATTCCAAGTGCTTTAAATATAAAAATAAAAATAAAAAATCACTGAGTGCCTATTAATAATATTAATTAATTTATATAAATAAATTATGTATTTACGAATAATGTAAATAATTGTACTATAGTATGAAGCTTAAAAAATAATATCAACTAGTCTGATGTACAATTAAACGTAAAGACTTTTGTCAAGTACAAAATAAACACTAAGTATTTTTTTCCATAAATTTGTTATTTTATTTAACTTCCTACTCTTTAAAAAATAATTAACAATTAATTATAACTAGTGTGGAGTGTTTTAAAAATTTTTGTCACGATGGAAGAGGCTTTAGTGATTTGTCAATTATGTGTAAAAATAAATCTTGGTCAAATTTAAGCTGTTCATGCTTGAAATAAATTTCTTCATTGTCAAACCATTCGTCAATATTAAAATCATTAAAAAAAACTTTTATTTCTCTTTTTGCTGAGTCTGGAGAATCTGAAAGTTTAAATAAAATTTTTTAATTTATTTTATTCACAAATATAAATTGAAAAATAAATCACCTGATCCGTGGGTGGCGTTTCTCGTGTCAGAGAGTCCAAACTTGCCGCGAATTGACTCTGGAGCTAAATATTGAGCCTGGTAGACCTTCGTAGGGCCCATAAGTTCTCTCCACCTAACAATAGCATTATCTCGTGCTAGAATGTGAATATCTGAAGGTCCACTGCTCATAAAAGTTACCAGGCGGTTGTAGAAAAATTTATCCTTGTGGTCCTGGTAAAAATAGCTCGCCTCGCTGAAGGTGATTTTAGTCCGACGAGACCTGACTACTTTGAAATCATTGTCGAGTATCAGCTGTCGTATTTTCTGTCAAGAATTTTATGAAAATTAAGTTAGCCGACATCTAAAAAATTTTAATTTTTTTTATTCAAAAAATTATCACAAAAAAATAAGAAAAAAAAAATTTCATTTCTAAAAAACTTAAAAAACTTTAAGTGCAATTTTTAAAAAATATTTTTTTTCGTCCAATTTAATAAACAAAAAAAATTAGCAACGTCGGCTTACTTTATTATTATAAGAATTTTAGATTTAACTGAGTTAAATAATTATATTAAAGTTAGCTGACAACTGTCAATTTTTTTATTTTATAAAAGATTAATTACAATAAGAATAATTTTTTATAATTTTCACATGTGGAATTTTTTTATTAAATTTTTTTTATTGTTTTAAAATTATAGAAAAAATTTTTAATGTCTTAGAAATAGAAATTGAGAGACATCTGATGATTTTTAGAAATTTATTGACTAATAAATTATAGCGAAAAAATTTATTTAAAAAATTCAATCTTTAAAAAAAAGTTACTAATGTAATTTTTTATCAATAATTTTCTGTACCTAGTTTATAATTCAAGAAAAATAAAAAAATCAAGTTTCTGTAAATTTCATCAAATTAATTTTTAGGTTAAACTCACCTGAAGCGCAAACGGATTTTTTATGACGTGAGGCTTCAAAATAGCGAGAGTCAACTGCAATGGATTATTTGATCTCATTCTTCAGGATTTTTTTATTAAAATTATGACTTGTCAGGTGTTGATTAATTATTGTTTATATATGTTTTGAACATTTGTAATTATCTAGTGACAGAATTATTTATTCTCACCTGGTCATGTTTATCAGGTTTTATTATAAATCAGGCCGCGTATTTTTGAATTATTCAAATGTTTGCTGTCGAAATATCCAATAAGAAAATGGATCTCCCCACTTTCTTTTCCTGACCCCTTTTCTATATAATTTTCAGAAATTTGCGGGTCCATTTTTTGTTGCAATTTACTTTGCATGATAGAGGCGCTGCGTATGGTGTGATAATTTTTAATAAACGGCACGGAAAATTAGTTTGAGTAATTAATTTGGAAGACCTTTTAAAATTGGAATTTTGAGTTCCGCTTTTCCGCTTTTAACAGGGGCTGTGTTTGGGCATTTCCTGAGATATTTTAGGGGGAGACGATGTATTTGATTATCCATAGGATTTTTACCAGGAGATTTAATTGGACACCTCCGGCCAAATTTTTAATTTTCACCGGAAACGCCCAAACTAAGCTTCTGTTAAAAAATTCTATGAAAATCAAATACATCGTCTCCCGTAAAAGCGGAAAAGCGGAACTCAAAATTCCAATTTTAAAAGGTCCTCCACGGGAGTTACATTTTGGCACACCCTAATATGACATATATGTATAACATATTGTTGTAAATTGCCGAGGGCGTTTCTTTACAAATGAATAAAATAAATTTTTTATTTTAGAAAAAAATTAAGCAATATTTCTTTTTTAATATAATTTTATTATTATTTAATATTATGTTAATAAAAACATTGCTGATAAGTCCATTTCGGATAAACGCGTTTGAATAAGTTCATCAAAACTGTATCTTGGGATTTCAGCTGCCCATCAAACACGCATTTCATATGTCCATGAGTACCTAAAAAATTAAAATAATTATTAATACTCAATCAAAATTAAACTTTGTAAAGAAGTTGATTTTTTTCTTACCTAAAGGTTCCTTGATGTGACCACGACGGCCATGCTTGGTGCGTAGCTTAACTGGTTTGAACCAATCAATGTCCTCACGGTTGTAGAACATGAATCTAATAGATGCAGATCTTTTGAAAACTTTGAAAGGATGCCCACTTAAGATAACACGCTTTATTACTAATCTGTCTGGATTTGCTGATAAAACACTTCCAGTAGCAACAAGTTTCTAAAAACAAAAGTCCTTAATATTAAACAGAGTCCAAATATTTAAATAAATAATTTAAAAAATTTTATATTTACAGGCAATCCATTAGTCATTTGCTGAAAGCATAAAACTGGACAGGGTGGAAACACGATTGGAGCGTACATGCTTGCAACAGCTGTCTCTCCTGGTTGGAAGAATCTCAAATACTGAAATAAAATAATCATAATTGTTATTTATAATAAATAAATAAAATTTGTAAGGAATGTCATAATTAATTATAAAGCAAACCTTATGTTTAGGTGTGTAAGTATGTTCACTGAAAATCGGCGCAGTGATAAATCTTCTGAACCCACATTGGAAGATAAGTTTATCTTTAGAAGCAATTGGCTCAGCATTAGGATCTGGAGTTCTTTTTAATACGACATTTAACAGAGACATTTTTTGTTCATGAGGCAGTAAGCCAAACAAAATCAAGTGTTTTTTCTGTCTGATATGATCTTCGTACACTTCTTTTGGTACATCTTTTACATGGATTGTGATGTAAGATCCAGGCTGAAAAATTTAAGTATAATTTATTATTATTATTTTTATTCAGATCAAAATTAGAATTTCTGATTGCATTAAGGAGAGGCGATGTCAGGAATGACTATTTGCGTTTCTCAAGAAGTAATTCGGCTATATATAAAAATTCTTTCCTGATTCATGGCATTAAAATTTGGAATTCACTACCGGCTGATATCACAGTAATTGACAACTTTGAAAATTCAAAATCAAACAAGCTTGTTTTAAATTCTTCTTGCAATCAATGTAAATACCATTAATCTTGCAATTTAATATGTTAGTTATTAATTAGTATCGATCTCTAAAATTGTATTGCAAACACTGTATCAAATGTATACTTGTAAACTATTATCTTTATGTATTGTTGATGGTCCTGAAGGAGCTTAGAACTCCAGGATCAAATAAAATCTATTATCTATCTATTATTATTATTATTATTATGAGCTAGTTTTTTTAATTATTTCCTTCTTTTTTTGTTAGGTTATAATAACTTTATTATAACCTCATGTGCATTCTGATCATAAGAGACCAAATAATAAACATTTTCTCATTTCAAAATAATTTTCTATATAAATGTTATAAGTATCTTAATATCTAACTTTCTCACATACTCTGTAACACTTTATGTATCTTTTGGCTGTTAAGGGACGTTGTCCTACAGTCAGTTAATAAATGACATTATTATTATTATTATTATTATTATAAATTATAAAAAAATATAATTTTCAACAAACCTCAACTCCAATAAGTTCTTCATTTTTCTTTAAAATAGTTTTAGTAGTCCTTTGGAAATTTTTAAACTGAAATATCCGAGCATAATCCATCGGCAAATCTTCTTTAGGATCCCAGGGACTGGTACGGAATGATTCCAGTCCTCGGTACTTACAGAATCTTTCACGCGCAGGAATGTCCTGAGGAGTATCCATTTCATCAGGAAACTGTGCGTCTTCTTTAGCTTCTGTTGATTCAAAAAAATTCAAATTTAAGACTATGATCAAATGTTATTAGATTAAAAAAATTGTACCTTTGAATCTAACCAAGGCTTGTTTTTCTTCCGTAATATCCAATTCTTGATCATACTTCTGTTCATCTAATGGAGCTTCAGACTCAGTTACGGTTTCGTAATCGTCATCGCACTGGCTTTCCTCATCCGAGTCGCCCTTGTCGACTGCCATAGTTTCTTCATTCTCTCCGTTTTCATTGTCGTCGCTGTCACATTCGCCATCAAACTCTTCATTTTCGAGAATCCAAGCGGCTTGGTAGCTAGATGTACCTTTTAGCACTCGCTTAATACTTTTCTTCTCCATCCGCTCTCGTTTTGCTTCTTCCAGTTCTTCAGCAGTTGGCCAAGTCTGTTCAGCGTCCATTGGGTCCGGAGTGTTTTCAGATTCTAAACTTTCCTGCAATAAAATAACAATAATAAATAAATAAATAAAAAAAATAAATAAATTACTTGTAATGCCGGATTAGCGCGTTCCAAAACAGTGACTTCTTGATTAATATTCATCCCGTTTGATTTTTCAGAATAAGGATCAGAAGTCGGCGAATCAATTTGAGACATCTGAAAGTCTCCTACTCCAATTATGTGTACCAAGCCGTTAGCTGAAAGCGTTGTGCCTCTTAAATATCCCGTCAATTTTAATGTTCCCTTGTCATCAGTTTCCTAAATTAAAAATAAATAAATAATCAATCTTAATTAACTTAAAAAAATAATTTGTTTTTATTAAATAAATAATACTTACAGGACAATAATCGAAACGTTCAGAAATAAAATGCGGTCGATTATTTCTGTAGAAAATACTCTGTTGTTCTTGTTCACTAACGACTCTCAATGCATTGTAAGCGTCAATAGAATTGTTTAAAGTTTGAGTTTTAACTTCAGGTAAGTATTTCTGGATTGATTTAATAATATTTTGTCGTACTTTTTTAGCTTTATTTTTCTGTAATTAAAATTATTTAATTATTTATTGTTAAATTAAACGTATAAATTTCTATACTGAAGAAATTTTCAATTGAAAAAAAAATACCGTAATAGAATTCTCATTTTGATCAGCAAATATGACCATGCTTGTTGGTAATTTCTGAGGAATACTAGTCTTCAATATCTCTTCTCCCCATTCGTCGATATTGTCTTTAATAACAAACAAAACCGTCGAAGCAACTTTCATCACGTCTAATGTGTCGAATAAATTATCTTTACACGGGACTATAATCTCAAATTTCTTCTTAAGTTTCGTGAGACTTAAATAAATTTTATGATTAATTTATTTAATAACAATAAAATTTATTGAAATTTGATCTATACCTGATGTGAGTAAAAGTTTCTTCATTAACAGCAGCCATATCTTCATCATTGTCCATTACTTCATCAGCATTTTCATCACCATCAGTAGCCATTTTTTCAGAGTTAGATTTCTTCTTAGGTTTTTTATTTTTACCCACATGATTTTCGGACTGCTTAAGAATTCTTAGAATATTATTCACTTCAATATTGTCTTGCAGAGGAACAACAGCTATCAAAACTGGAGCCGATTCTTCTCCTCCGATTTTACGTTTTTCCATCAGAATGTCTTCTCGTTTTTTTAAACGAATCTGATTTGACTGGTTGCGACGCTGATCTTTTGTCATTATTAATTTATTTCGCTTAGTTAAAGTCTTTACATTGACCTTACCTGCAGAATTTTATCAATCATTAATAACAATAAATAAAACAAAGAAAAAAAAATTTTTAAACACATGCAAGAAATTAAATTGAATTTTTGGAACGAAGTTCCTTACGGCAGGCTTGGAGGGGATAGGGATTTTGCTGCGTGACCGAACTGAAAAAAAATAATGTGATAGTAAAACCGTAAGAAAAATGCGTGGAATAAAACCGTTAAATGAGACGTATGCAGGCGCGACAGTCGCATACACAGACGAGTAGTGTATAATACCTTCTCTTTCTCTCTCTTTCTTTTCGTTCTCTCATCCCTTCTCTTTCTATTACCACTCCACCCCGCCAATGCATAGTATATACACGGAGAGAATTTTATTATGGTAAATACTATCATCTGAGTATTGTAAAAAGCTCTAAAATACTTCAATAGTGACGAATACTACCTTTTATTATTATAAATACGATATAAATTATTACAGTTACCACCAATATGGTAATTTTTACCATCTTTTATATTACTATAAGATTGTATTTTCAACTATCTAAGATAATTTGATTAAATATCTTGATAATAATTTTTAAAATCAAATTAATAATTTATACAATCTTTGATGATAATTATTACGATCAGAGTTTATATTTTATCAAATTGATATTTATATTAAATAAAAGTAATTTCTAATATTATTTAGAGTGAAAAAAAATTAATTTTAATTTTCAGTTTATGTCTACCACCACATTATTATTATTATTACTAGCAACCTTGCAGTCACTATGTGACTGTTGTGACTTGTGAACTATAAATAAATAAAATTTTGCCTCATGAAATAATGAGTTTTCTTAAATTGCACTGTACTTCTTTAACTATTGACGTTTTTAAAGATATAAGCTCATCCCGATGTTACACTCATCAAGACCTTTCATTTGAGTACCCACATGCATTTTGATATATTTTTCATATATACTACATATATAAATATATGAAAAATTGATGTGGGTACTCAAATGAAAGGTATCGATGAGTGTAACATCGGAATGAGCTTATATCTTAAAAAATGTCAATAGTTCACAAGATACAAGGTCATTTCTTAATTATTAATATTTTTTAAGATGTAAGCTCATCCCGATATTACACTCATCAAGAGCTTTCATTTGAGTACCCACATGCCCTGGCATATAAATACCCTGACCACAAAATTTTGCTTATTCTCATAATAATATAGATTATTATTATTCTATTATTGATAATGTTGTTGATATTAATTCAGTGCTTACTTTTACTGAATAGCTTATAATACAATTGGTAACTTTAACTACTTGTGATGGTAAATGTAACCATCTCGATAGTAAATGGTACGATCGCTCTATTTTAGGAATTATTATTTATTATTGTATTGATTATAATTTAAATTGTTATATTTATCATTTTAACTTTTATAAAATTAATTACTATCTAAGATAGTAAAATCTACAAAACAAGTATTGTTAAGGTTAACATAAAATTCTCTCCGTGTACTCATGAATTCATGGACAAGCACGTGGCGAATACTCACATTATAGATACATTTTACTCGTGAGTAGCCACGTTTATTTTCATATAATTTCAATGTTTTTTTATTTTAAGTAATTTATTATTTCCTAAAATACTGAATTTTCTAAATACTTTCTTGTACTTAAATAAAAACTAATCAGCAAAATTTAAGAGAAAAATCAAGAAAATCTACATAAAATTGAGCACGATTTTTTTTGCAATTTGTGTCGATTCTACATTAGCCGAAGGAACTTCGTTTCTACCTGGTGTCCCACGACACCACATCATTTTTAAACACATGCAAGAAATTAAATTGAATTTTTTAAAATTATTTTTTACAAAATAAAAAATTTTAAATTAATTTTTTAAAATACAATATTGAATAAAAATAAATATAACCTTCTGAGGAACGTTTAATTTCACGTTTGCTCCGATGTTTACCAGTGTTATGGTTCTTGTGAGTTTTTTTCATTCTCGTCATTTTTGTTGTTGTTATTAATCAGTAATTAACATACACAATAATTAATAAATTTCAATTATTGATAATAACTATCGTTTGTAATAATTTGTTTTTGTATAAACCATGTGGTTGCACTTGGAACTGGAAAGTGGAAACTTGAAATAAAAATAAGGTTATCAGTGAAGAAAAAAGCGACAGCGCCATCTGTTTAGAAAAAAAGCGGTTAAATTAAAAATTAATTTTATAATACCAAAGTTAGACGTTTTTAATTTTTTGATTGTTTTATGATAATTAAATTAGAACAAAAAAACATTTTTGAAAAATTGCACTTACAGTTTATCAAATTTATTACAAATAAAAATGTTTTTTTATTTTTTTATTATCATTTTTTCAATAAAAAAAATTTTTTTAATTTTCATATTTTTTTTTTTTTGTAATTTTTACAATTTATAAATTTGATATTCAAAATTTTATTTTATTTTTTATAATTTTAATTAAATTAAAAAATTTTTTATAAAAAGTAAATTTTTATTTTTTCAATTAAAAAATTAAAATTAACAAATTAAATCAGCTGATTGTCATTTATAGAACATAAAATAATGATAATAATTATTATTATTATTATTTACCTGTTAATAAATTAATTAAATAAAAAATTCGCGGTATTTATTTCAAAGAAATTACAAGTGCTGCTACTGGAAAAAAATAAACCAAAAACATAAACTTAATAAAAGATGTCGCTTTACAGTCGCCATTTTTATCTCCAGTATTTCTTATTTATCATTTGTCATTCAATGAATCTCCAAGATCCAAGTTAATTTAGCTTCTGACGCGTTGCTTTTGCACGTAATCATTTATAAAATAAATCAATCGATTATAAACAACAAAGCTGAAGATATTTCCTGTCTGTCAATAACTTTTTTAAAAAATAAGTAACCTTAGTAACATTCCTGTCGCTGTGTACACAAATAAACATTCATGATACATAATAAACAGTGAGTTTATTTACGTAATTGAATAAGGTGATTAGCATTAGTACCAAGTACTTATTAATTATTATTACTAATCGCGAATTATTTGAAAATTTAATTTCTCGTGAATGATTCAGTCTCAGGATTAACCATGCAGAACCAAGAAGATGGTGTTGAAGGTAACTATTATTTTTTTAATTATTTCAAAAAATATTTATTGATTATTGTATTAATTAATTAAAAATTCATTGACATTTAAAAATTTTAATTTTAAAATTCTATTACCAGGATCACCATGGAACAACTCAAGCGGCTGCGAAGAGGAGCGCAAGCCGCGGGAGGGAAAAAAGTCAAATGTCCTCGCGCTTTGGGGCAACGAGCGCACCATGAACCTGAACCCCTTGATCCTGACGAACATTTTATCGTCGCATTACTTCAAAGTTAATTTGTATGAGCTGAAAACTTACCACGAGGTTATTGATGAGATTTACTACAAAGTTGCCCACTTGGAGCCCTGGGAGAAGGGCAGCAGGAAAACCGCGGGACAAACTGGGATGTGTGGAGGCGTGAGTATGTTTTTGTCACTGGTAATCATATCATCATGCATGCTAGTTTCTTTCGGGTTTTTATGATGCTGAAATCAGCAGATATTTACAATATTTTTTTCTTTTATTAATTTACATTTAAAAAAATTTTAATTTTGTATGTGAAATTTTTCTAAAAAATTTTTTTAATCATTTTTGTATTAAAAAAATCACAAAATTTTTTTAACTAAGAAAAATTATGAAAATGAAAAAAAAATTTTTTTCAATATTAAAATAACAATTCACAGTTTGATGGAAATCTTTATTCGATGTTTATTTAAATTTTCACAACGTTTCGTCGGTTTCCCGACTTCCTCAGGTGCTAGAACAATTAAATACAAAATACTTTACAATAATATTCTTATAATTAAATTACAAAATACTATCATAACTTTGTATAAATTAGACAGTACAAATTCAACTCAAAAATTAAATTTATGCCTAAGTCTAAGAATACATCAGAACACATACCTCAATTATTAAACATCAATTGTTAAAATCATGTTATATGAATCAAGGCTATGGATTATTAAATAATGAAAAATTTAGCAGATACTAAATAATTTTTAGAACTTTTTTTCAACAAATAAATTATGGAAAAAAAATAAGAAAAAAAATTGGCATGTAGAAATTAAAAAAAAAATGAAAAATCCAATTTTTTTTTTTTATTATTTTTTGGAACAAATTTGTTTGTTTAAAAAAATTAAAAAATTCTTTAATGACTGCTAACTTTACTGTCATTATTAAATAAACTAAAATAAAAAAAAAAAAATTTTTTTCGCTAAGAGAAATCATAAAAAATATTTTTTAATAATATTTTTTAATTAAAAAAAATTATAAAATTTCTGCTAATTTTATTTTTATGGGTTCTTGGGACACTAGAAGTAATTTAAATTAATATTGAATTTCTAATTAATAAATTAATAAGTTTTAATAGTTACAGAGTAGCATGTTTTGGTGAAATGTAGTTTTTGAATGTGAATGCTATTAATTTTGACACGAGGGTTGTAATTTAGCGGTTCATGCAGGTACGCGGCGTTGGAGCTGGAGGGATAGTATCAACGGCCTATTGTCTACTTTATAAATTATTTACCTTGAGATTGACGAGGAAGCAATTAAATGGACTAATCAATCATCCAGATTCGCCTTATATTCGAGCTTTAGGATTTATGTATATAAGGTATTATTATTAATCAATATAAATATTGATCGATTTATTTAACAGTTGAAGTAAAAGACAAATAAATTGATCCGATAATTACATAAATACATAAAACATAATAAAATAGAATGACCTTTAAAAAGTGATGAAACTATAAATAAGCGACCTGAATATTAAAATAAATATTTGTATTTGTTAGATACACACAACCACCAGCAGACTTATTTAGCTGGTATGACGAGTACCTGGACGACGAGGAAGAGTTTGATGTTAAAGCCGGTGGCGGGCAAATGATGAAGATGGGCGAAATTTTAAAGCAATTTTTGACCAAACTCGAGTGGTTCTCGACGTTGTTCCCCAGGATACCAGTGCCGATACAGAAGGAGCTTGAGCAGCGTCTAAGCGAGAGGTTTCCTCAGCAGACAATAAACGCTCGCAATGCCAAGCCACCTATTACGCTGAATAATCATGGAAAGTATAGCTCCAGTCGCAAGGATAATGGTAATTCAACGGCCAGGAGCCAGCCTAGACACATTTCTGACAGCGATGCTCACTGGGGTGAAGCCGAATCACGTACGAGTCAATGGCGAGCCAGGTGCGTCTACGTGGTATGACTTTAAATCACGTTATTATAATTATTTTAGTTTAGTTTGAATTTTTTATTAGTAGTTTAGGTATTTAAATAATAATTTTAATTAATTAATATGAATGATAAATTGCCAGGAGAAAAATTAAGGGGTCTGGAGACAGTGGTCTAGTCGAGGAAAATAATATACACCCGTACGCTAATTGCGTTTCAGGGGGTACTTAAAAATTTTACACTTGTCCCTCATTTTTTTTTTTTTTTTTTTTTTTTTTTTTATTATTAATTATTGTATTTATTTTTCATTCATTGATGCTTGTGTTTTGGAGGGCTCGTGATAAATGAATTGTGTGATTAAACGTTTCAGGTCTGATGAAGAACGCAGAGACAGCAGAGACAAACATCGTGATCGTGATCGAGAACGCAAACGATCACGCGAGCGTGATCGTTCAAAAGATCGCGACCGTGGAAGCAGCAGAGTTGAGGAAACTAGAAAACGTGATCGACATTCACGGAGAACGAGTCGTGAACGCAGTCGAGAAAAAAATAGGAGACATCGTAGTCGGAGTAGAGAAAGATCTACTCGGGATCGAAGTCGAGAACATAATCGAGATCGATACCGTGAACGGTGAATGTTATTATTATTTTTATTATTATTTTTATTATTTTTTGTTAAAAATTAATTATAAAAGTGACAAATAATCTATATTATTAAGAGAATAGGAAAAATTTTGTCTCCAGGATAGTCATATGATAAAATCGGTTTTTTAAATAAAATTTAGTGTCATTGCAAAGGTCTTGACTTGAATTTGTGTTTTTTCAAGGTTTCCTATTATTCTCACCGATAGTCAATTTATTATGATAAATATTTAGGCTCCATTGGAAAATGCTCTATTTCTAGATTAGGGTGGCGCAAAAAAACCGACTATTTTTTTTTTTTTTAGTCTCGAGTGAAAAAATGTTGGTTTTTCATGTTTTAAGAGCTCTCTCCAAAGGACAGCTTAAAAAAAAATTTTAAAGAGGTCGCTCCAAATTTTTTTAAATTTCAAAAATCGTCGAAAATCGAATTTTTTTTTTTAACTTATTTTTTTTGGTCTATAAAATTATGACGTAATGAGAAAAAAATTAAAAAAAAAAAAATTCGATTTTTGAAATTTTAAAAAATTTGGAGCGATCTCTTAAAAATTTTTTTTGGAGCTGTTCTTTGGAGAGGGCTCTTAAAACATCAAAAACTGATATTTTTTCACTCGAGACTTAAAAAAAAAAAATAGTCGGTTTTTTTGCGCCACCCTACTTCAAATACATAATAAAGAAATGACCTTGTATCTCGTGAACTATTGACATTTTTAAAGATATAAACTCATCCCGACGTTATACTCATCAAGACCTTTCATTTGAGTACCCACATCAATTTTTCACATATTTATATATATTTTGTATATGTATGTATGAAAAATATATGAAAATGCATGTGGGTACTTAAATGAAAGCTCTTGATGAGTGTAACATCGGGATGAGCTTATATCTTTAAAAACATCAATAGTTAAGAAAGTACAGTGCAATTTAACAAAAGTCATTATATAATAAAGCAAAATTTTATTTATTTATAGTCCACAAGTCACGGCAGTCACATAATGACTGCAAGGTTGCTAGTTATAATAATTAAAATTTATAATTTTTATTTTAATTAATTAAATTAATTTTATTACAGAAAAAATTCACCAATAGATTATGCAGCAGAGTTAGCACGTGAACGAGAACGACAACGACGGGACTAAATAAATAAATAATTAAAAAAAAATACAAAATACCAACATGAAAAAAAACATTGTACCTAAAAATACAATTATTATTAAATTGATGAGTTGATTGCTAAATAAGTTAATGAATAATAAAATAAAGTTAATAATTTTAATTATTAAGAAAAATAATTATAATTAAATATTAAGAAAAAAAAATAAAATAAATTTACTAAACAAAATTAATATAAGTATCGATTTAAAAACCGAGCCATTTAATTGAAAATTGATGCTGTTTGCCTAAAGTTTGTTATATTTTAATTGATTACATCTCTCGTAGTTTTAATATTCTTCTTTTTTTATATAAATATATAATAAATAAATAAAGTTATTGTGTAATTTAAATACTTCATTTCTTCTTATTTTTTTGACTGTAATTTATTTATAAAATAATATATTTATTTTATTGTTAGAAAAATAAAAAATTATTTGCAACAATAAACCTGTGAAATCAAGAATATTTTTATTTGAACGAAAAACAAATATGGCGGCAACTAGTAGAGTCCAGATGACGTCAAGTGAGCATGAAAAAACGTGTGTTGAAATTTTAATAAATAATGAGGCTCAAAGGACGTTTATTTATATTATTTAAGTGTAAAAAAAAGTATATAAGGTAATTAATTAACAAATTAAAGTATTAATAAAGAATGATAATTGTGAGTTAATAATTTTTATAATAATTATAAGATGAAGAATGTCAATGACATGTTTATAAGATAAATAGATAAATACATGCGCAAAATAATGAAATGTTTTTTTTTTATTACAGATGATTGGTAGACGTTGTGCTTTAATAGCTCTTGGCGGGCTTTTAATACTAGTTTTGACTGTCAATATTTATTTTATACGGATGATTGTTGAGACGTCGTCTGACAAGTATGCTAGAAATTCCCCGATTGCCAATGACAGAATACAGGATAGAAATAATAATAATCAAATAAACGGTGATCATAATAATAATAATAATAATAATATTAATGGCAATAATTATGATAATAATAACAATAACAATAATAATAATCGAGTGAAAAAGTCACTGACTCATGAAATAGAAGAGAAAATAAAAGCCGAGATGAGGTTGTTGCCGTCTAAATATTTTAAACGTAATTCTAGTTATGCTTTGTTGCTCGATAGGCTGCTTATGGAATTGAAAATTATGCCTAATGCCAAAGATGATATTTGGAGTATTCCTAATAATAATGTAAGTCATATATTTTTATTTTTTTTTTTTAATTTTATGATTTTGAAGTTAACTGACACCTGTCAAATTTTTGGATTTTTTTAACCTCTATATTTTTATGAAAAAATTTATGATACTTAAATTAGCAGACACTTGGCAATTTTTTGGTTTTTCTTAAGAAATATATTAAGGTCTAGAAAATTATTTTTAAATATATAATTGCATTTATAATTTTTCAAAGCTTCTAAAGATGAAAATTTTTAAATGATTTTTTTTTTTAGTATAATTTATTTATCAAAAAAATTCTAAAAATTATCAGATGTCTCTCAATTTCAGTATCATAAAAATTTTATTAAAAAAATTCAATTTCCATAAATAAAAAATAAATGCAAGTGCAAACTTTTTAAAAATAATTTTTTTAATTTATAGCAATAAAAAATATTTAGTGGAAATTTTAAAAAATATGAAAATTAATGTTCTGAATTTGTTTATAAAAAGTAAAAAAATTAACAAATGTCAGCTGATTTCAGTATTCTATTTTTTATGAAAATTAATTTAGCAGATATTTGATCATTTTTTAAATTTTTGTAACAAATTAATTATAACAAGAAGAAAATTGTTAAAAAAATTGACGTGTAGAAATTAAAAAAAATTAAAAATACAATTTTTTTTAAATAATTTTTTGGAATAAATTTTTTTGTTAAATAAAATTAAAAAAAATTGTCAAGTGGCGGCTAACTTTAATGTCATCGATTGTTTTTATAATTAATTTTTTATAAAAACCAAAAAAATTGTCAGATATCAGCTGATTTCAGTTTGATTAAATATTGAATATTTTTTTATGACACTGAAAACAGCTGACCATTTTTTTTTTTATTTAATAAATTTTTTTTTATGTTTAAGTATTTATTCTTAAAAAATAGTCAAATGTTTTTTATTTTCTGTATTACATTGTATAGAATAATTATTGTTAAAATAATTGATAATAAATTTTAATTTCTGTCAACAGTGGCCAGATGCGCATCATTTATTACCACCAGCAGCGCCAGAGCTAGGAACAATTTTAAACGCGTTGCGTAAAACCAAAGTAGTAAAAGTATCAAATGCCCAGGTGGGAACGCAATTGAAATTAATGCTAACATTAGAACCAAATGTCAAAGCAATATTCAAACCACAATGGTACTCCAGGGACACTGTTTTACACGGTCCAGTGTACTTTGGAAAAGACAGGCACAATGCTGAAATTGTTGCTTTTCATTTGTCGTCTTTACTTGGCCTAAGACGCGTTCCTTTAACAGTTATTAGAAAATGTAATTTATTAATTAACTATAAATAGCTACTTTATAAAATGTATATTAATAATTTATTTTGATTTTTTTTTAGTAAATTTAAAAGAAGTACAGAGTAAAGCTACAGCAGAAGTATCAGCGACGATGTTTGAAGAAGCTAATGAAACTTGTTTATATGGAAATTGTCATTATTGTTCAGCGTCGGATCCTGTTTGTAGTACTAATAATATACTTGAAGGTGCTTTAATTCTATGGTTACCATCCTCGTTGAAGCTTTTTAAACATCGACATCCTTGGCAGAGAACTTATAAACGTAATAAATTAGCTCAATGGGAAACTAATCAAAATTATTGTGATAAGGTATTTTTTTAATTTATTTATTTAATCTATATTATTAAGAGAATAAGAAAAAGTCTTCAGGATAGTCATATGATAAAATCGGTTTTTTTAGTAAAGTTTAGTGTCATTGCAAAGGTCTTGACTTGAAGTAGTGCCTTTTTAAGGTTTCTTATCATTCTCACCGACAGTCAATTTATTATGATGCATATTTAGGCTGCATTCGAAAATGCTCTATCTCAAGATACATAATTAAGAAATGACCTTGTATCTCGTGAACTATTGACATTTTCAAAGATATAAGCTCATCCCGATGTTACACACATCAAGAGCTTTCATTTGAGTACCCACATGCATTT